GAGGCGCTTCAAGTAATTAAGATGTTTCACTGATTTGATGCGGGTAGTAAATAATTCTGTGCACACTATTAATCTCTGATATCTGGAGTTAGAATCTTGTCTCCCTTAACGTATTGGGTGGATATACAGTATATTCTCAAGTGTTATATGCTTATAATTGTGTAAAAAAAAAACTGCAAAATAAATACAATAAGAATGTAAAGCGATAAAACAGGAAGGTGAAGTTTTCCATGCTTTCATTAACTGTATTTTTAATAACATTCTTATTATATTTATTGTGTATACTGTATTATTATTCTCATATATTTTCATTACTATTTTGTATTTTTTCAAATCACATTTATTGTTGTTCGACTTAGTGTTGATAATTTCAGTGTTTATATAAATCTTATACAACTGATCCAACAGGAAGGACCAAAACTGTTGATGTGTTATCCTTTACCTGAAATTGTTGGCGATGTTAGTAGCTGTTCCCTCTACTGACCTTGCCAGAATGAATGGAGTGTTCTTATTGATAAGTTATATGACTGATAAAGATTATTAATGCATTTTGAGCAATGTCTGTGCATTGTTTCGCTCACCCAAGCAAGTTTAGACGTTTCTATAATTCGCCTGCGTGATGGTTCTTTGTCCTCTTTCGACCTCATGGACGACACATCACAGCTCATCTGTCTTGTTTTACAGTCTTCTTTGTTCTGGAGGACTTTTGTTCCCACATGCAACCAGACACTTCTGTCTGGTTGCATATTTAGGGTTTATATAACTACTTTTTTTTCTTGTGTCAAGAAACTATCCATCTTCATCTTGACATTATGTTATCTGTGCACTGACACAGTCGGGGTATGGAATTTCTGCGCCTTGACACAGTAGTGGAGATTTTATTTTGATATTTGGGTATTTGGAAATCCACCATCAGGAGTTTGATGGTCTGTGTTGTTATTCCATGGCTGCCCAGGTGCAACAAGATGTTGGATTTTGTTTCACACAGTTATATTGTTGGAGTCCTGCTTGACAGCATTGCTTGCTATCATTCTGTGCTGGATAGGATATTCAGAGTGCCTTGATGTGTGCATTACTTGTAACACGTAATATATTTAATAATGTTATTGTCAAATGTTGTACAAAGTAGAGAGGGTCATTATTTTGATAAAAATATGTATTATAAATGCAATGTTAATATCAGATTACTCGAGTTAGAGCGGACCGCTTTTTTTTTTTTTGCCTAATTATGTATATTCCTATTGATGTAATTGATGCACAAAAAGATGCATCCTAGACCATTTTTACAATAAATGCTTTACCATAAATACAAGTATTTTGGTTTATACCTTCCTGGACATTTTAGATTACACTGCTGGTTCTATTTAAATTCCTAGAATGATAGATACATAGCCTCAGGTTTACCAGACAGTGGAAAAAATTATACAAAATTAGCTGTATACTGACATACATTACAGCCTTAGTACAGGTTAGTTATTAAGAATGGAACGTTAGCTTTTATTATAATAACAGAGGATGAACGTAATACTCAGCAGCTCTCCTGCTGCCGCTGATGATGTGGTGTAGTTATAGTAGCATTCTTCTTCGAGGAATGTAAATAAGGAGGAAATCCTGTAAGTTCTGGAGGAGGAAAGGTTAAAAGACCACTTATCTTGAGAGATAATGTGGCTAAGATACTTCGACGATATCATGGTTATCGCTTCAAAAAGCTTCGTCAACTAGGACCTTCTTAACACTTTAAGTTCAGTAGAACCATCGATCAAATTCACCACTAAAGAAAAAAATGGACAGATGTTTTTTCTGAATGTTATGATCTGAAAAAAAAACGATAAGCTAGATTGAAGACTACTCTGGTAATCCACTAATAAAAATGATTTTCTGCTCTACCTGTCTCGTCACAACAACTGCTCAAGCATTGGATTGTTATTAGTTTCTGCATGAAAGCCTACAGAATTTGTTCCTCACCTACATTCCTCGAAGAAGAACAGGATTACATCTGAAACTTCTTTGAACTTCACCATCCACAACACTTCTTCGGTGCAAGAAAGGAGCAGAGAAGATGCTACAAATTACTAGACAAGTTACAAACACCAGGATGTGCATAGTTCTACCCATAAACAACTCAGGCAAAAACCTCTCCAGATCTTAAGCCAGCATTAACGTTGCCAACAAATCCTCCAACATAATGAATCCCTTTCTTGAAAAGAGAACCGTAGACAAGAATATCACTGTTGGCGTCGACATTCTACCTTGCAGAGCTTGTGGTAAGTTTTAAGTGGGTGAAACCTCTGGGGACCTGAACACGAAAATCAATGAACACAGAAATGCCTGCCAGAGGGATGACATGAACAACACTTGTACTATTTATTGCAACACGGAAAATCTTTTGATGAACCTCCTCGCTGACAAACTAATTATCAAGGAAGCACACATGAGCAGTAAGTTGCTATGACTAACGTCATTATACATATATCAGGTTCAGTCTTAAGTTCCAAAACACTGGTTAAATTTATTCTTGCCAGACTTTGATGCTTCTGTATGATAGAACAATATCAGGAGCCTCCAGTACCCTAACAGCCAACCTAATTTAAAGCCACATTGCAACAGTTGACGCCACCCGCCCAGCCTGCGTGTCACCTTACGTAATCTCATATTTATTTTAATATATATATATTTTATATATATATTATATATATATATATATATTATATATAAAATATATATCATATATATATTATATATAATATATATATATTAACAAATGGCCATCTCCCACCGAGGCAGGGTGACCCAAAAAAAAAGAAACACTTTTACCAGCATTCACACTATCACTGTCTTTGCAGAGGCCCGCAGATACGACAGTTTAGATGTCACTCCAAACAGTAAATATCCCAAACCCCTCCTTTAAACTGTAGGCAATGTACTTCCCACCACCAGGATTCAAGTCCGGCTAACCAGTTTCCCTGAAACCCTTCACACTCCAAAAGCTCGTCAGGACGTAGAAACCATTCGTCTCCACTCACCCCTATCTAACACTTTCACACGTGCTGCTGTATGTCCAAACTTCGTGCACATAAACCCTATTTTACCCCCTCCCTCCATCCTTTCCTAGGACGACCCTTACCCCTCTTTCCAACCACTACAGATTTATGCATCCTCCAGTTCATCCTCTTGTGCTCCATCCTCTCTAAATGACCAAACCAACTCAACTACCCCTCCTCACCGCTCTGAATAATACTTTTAGTAACTCGGCACCTCCTTCTAATTTCCACACTACGAGTTCTCTGCATAATATTTACGCCACACATTGCCCTTGAACACGATATCGCCATTCAAGCACATCTGGCTGAGTAGGGAAAGTACTGTGTACTTTGATAGTGTGCAGGTTCTAATTCTGCTGTGGACTGAGAAATAATATTTGTTGGGAATGAGTAACAGTACATGTATATTTGTGACATCTCGAAACCTATAATTAGTACTCTTCGTCCAACTCCCTAGAATTCAGAAGGTATTACTTCTCTGGATGGCAACAATGGTGATGAACATAAAGGCACAGTACCGTGACTGGATATACAAATAACCGCACATGAGAGTGAGGAGCTTACGACGACGTTTCGGTCTGTCTTGGGCCATTCACAAAGTCACACTAACATCTCTCTTTTCTGTTAGTGTGACCTTGTAAATGACCCAAGTCGGACAGAAACGTCGTCGTAAGTTCTTATCTCCTATGTGAGAGTTATTTGTGTAACATTGAGTGTCTGGGAAGGAAAGATGAAGCTCGTCGCTCTGGTAACCATGGCTTCCCTGACAACTTTCTCACCTGACACATTCAGGAAGGTGAATGTGCAATTCATTTTTTGATCAGCTTCAGTGTAACGGTTTAATGGTTGCTTTTTCAGGCAGGGATGTCTCTTCCCATTCGCTTTACTATTTGTGCAGAAATGAAGGGTACCAACAAAAAAGAAACATATTTGAGGTTATTCGTTCAACAGATGTTTCACCATAAACGCGAATATATATGTTACAATTCAGATGACAGATGAATAAGATACATATGCAACCCCTGGCTATCTTTATTGGAGAGACGTTTCGCCTGCTCATCCGTCTTTATGATGGTGTTGAACACGTGTCACTCACCAACTTAGAGAAGCATTTAAAATGGGTTGGACAAATATTTGTGTTAATAGGTTTGGGTTTGAGAATGACGTCCCTATTATGGGCCAGTAGGCCTGCTGCAGTGTTCCTCCTTTCTTATGTTCTTCCTGTCAGTACTGTTATACCCTGGGGTCAAATGAGTCTTGTCAGACAGCCGCGTCACAGAATCTTGATTGAGAGGACATCTGCCGCCCCTTTTTCTTTTAACATCTGACCCACTATATGGACATGACCTGCATCCACTAATTTAGGTCCCGCCCACAAGTCTCTGTAAGTTCCACAACTCACACAAATAACCCGCACATAGGTGAGAGAAGGTTATGGCGACGTTACGGTCCGACTTGGATCATCTACAAGTATTGTTCCAGTCACTGTATTGTGCCATTTTTGTTCTTTCTTCCACAACTGTCCGCCTCTTTCACTGACTCCAGTGTAAATGTCACAGTCATCAGGTCTCTGAATTATATTAAAACACACCACTTGTGAGGGCGAAATGTCTCTCTAATAAAGATACTCAGCTATAGCATATATCTCTTATTCAAGACCCTCCGAGCAGCAACACACAGCGCCAGTAACAAGTTGTGCAAAAAAAAAAAAAAAAAAAAAAAGGAGGGGAAAAAAACAGGTACCTTGCATTTGCAGGTTCAAGTCTACGTACGTAGTCTAAACCACTGAGTGCTCAAAAGAACACAGTGTAGCTAGCTGGAACTTTCCTTCAGCACATTTTTATGTAATGAGTTAAGCAACTCGTCTTGAATTTCCGTTTACTCTCTCTCTCTCTCTCTCTCTCTCTCTCTCTCTCCCTCTCTCTCTCTCTCTCTCTTTCTCACGTAGAAGCATCTTAC